CAACTGTGGCGGGTTCTGCAAAGGAACGCCCTCAGGGGGCCCGGTCTTACCCTCCTTAGAAGACTTGGACTGCTTGTCCTTTTTAGTGGCATGTTCCTTTCCAGACTTGCCTTTAGATGACTGTCTTGAAGCGACCTTCGATGTCCATCTTGTCGGTATCGATGCTCCGGTATCGACGGCTGCACGTGAGGTAGAAGGTTGGTCCGCCATAGCAGACGGCGGGTGAAGAGCAGATTCCAACAAAGCGACCTTTAACCGTGCGGCACGGTTCTTTTTCGTCTGATTAGAAAATTTAGCACAATGCTTACAAGTATCCGCTCTGTGTGACTCGCCTAAGCAGAACAAACAAAGTTCATGGCCATCTGGAGGGGCCAATTTACTTCCACACTTCTTACAGCGGTTGAAAAAGCCCCACTTCTGACTCCTCTTCTTTTTCTTTTCCATACGGTGGGAAGAGACGAATGCCGGGGAAAAGTGAAGAGGGAAGGGGGGGGGGAAGGCCCGAAGGCCTGAGGAGATTCCCCTCAGAAAAACAAAAGTTCTCGTTTTTCTTCTTCTTCTTCTTCTTTTTTTTTTTAAAGTAAACTGAAGTAGAGAAAATAAAATAGAGGATGATCCTAAGAAACAAGAAATAAGGTAAAGGCCCGAAGGCAGTAACAGCTATCCGGTCAGGAGGAAAGGCAAGAAGGTCCTTTCAACGCGGCGGTAGAGAGAGAACTGGCGGGATCTCCGCGCCCGTCCCCTCTGAGCATGCGCGCTGGGGTTCCTGCGCATGCTCAGTGGGACTCGCGCGAAAATCCTTTGAAACATAGCTTGCTACAGCACCGGTCGGGTCAGCGCAGGCGCACTAAACCCATTGGTGTGAAGCACAGAGACCACGAAGAAGATCTGTGAGCTAGCTCACACTAACTCAGCTTAGAGGGAACACTGATGGGGACTCGTCAACAGATTTTGGTTCAAGAAGCCATTTATTCCATAATCTTTGCTGCCATTTTTTTAAAAAAGTGTATGCATATAAGCAAGGTGGGGCTAAAAACTCATTCACCACCACTGGCTAAGTGGCTATGATGCTACGGAGTGCTCACAGATATTCCAGCTGCTCAAGAGGGAGTTGGCAGCTACAGAACGCTATCAAAAAGTACAGCTTTTGTGCGGCATGAGAAAGGGAAGTTTGAATGGGGTGGGAAGACGAATCCTCCTCCCAGGGCCTAGGATCAGAATGCGCTAGGGATGGTTCTTTGTGAATGAAGGACGCAGGTCCATGTGCAAGGTGAAGCAAGGAATCCTGAACAAGGCGGCTGAAGGAAGCAGGAGACAGTCCGTGGAGAGGAACTGAAGCAAGCAATTAGGCAAAGCGATCTTTCTGTGGACCAAAAAGGGATGGCGCAGAAGCACAAAAGCTTTTTGAGCTTCATCGAACTCTCTGGGGAGAGAGTTCAGTGAAATGAAACCGCAGCAAGCAGAGGAAGCCTCAAGAGGCAGCTTCTTCCTGGTGTGCGAGGTAAGTCACTCACCAGGAAAACGTGGTCAAAGATCTGCGTGGGACTGTCCATCTGGCCGAGGATGACGATCATCTCGTTGTCGATGAATTCCTTGAACTCCCGGAGATTGCACGCCATCTGCATCTCCAGTTCTGTTCGGATCTGCAGAGGGAGGGCAGAGGCTGCTTTGAGACCGTTGACTGTGCCGCCCTAAAACTCTCCTTCCTCGCTGGGTCCCTCTACCTGCTGCCCCCCCATTCCTCCCCCCCCCAATCCCCCAAAAAGGCAGCCAATGTCTTTATAAAACGTGTCAATTGCCCTGCTGCCTAACAAAGCACCTACGGAGAACAATTCCCGTATACTGATATCTCTTGGCTATCGCTTACATCCGGGAACAAAGGGACAGAGATCTCAACCGAGCGGGATGCTCACACGAGCGGAAGGAGACGGTTCTGCAGCTATGTAGGCAGATACGTAGGCAAAACAGAAGGGCAACTTTTGTTTTGTTCTTCTGCAAAACTTGGGAAGTCGCTTAAAAGAAGACACGGAGCCGATAAGAGAGGAGAAGTCCTGATCAGGCATGGCATGGGCCAGTCTCTTCTCCTTGGCAGTGCTCAACGGAGAGGCCTCTAACTTGGGACCCCCCCCCCTCCCGCCAGTGAGAAGCTGCTGACTGGGATGAGGAAGGAAGGAAGGAAGAGGCAGCAATGGCAACTGGGCCCTACACCTGGAAAGAAGGAGAAACTGCCCCGGGAAAGAAGGAAAAACAAAGATCCCCCCCCCCCCCGCCTCTCTTCAGCAGCTCCAGTGTGAAAATCTCCTTCCCTCAAGAGATGGGGCTCTGGAGCAGGGCCATTTTTGGGCAGGAACACACAGGAACGGAGTTCCGGCTGGCTCCCAAGTTGCAAGATAGACTAAGGGCACAGCAAACTAAAGAGCATAGACATATGAGAGGTTGCTGCAAAAGTTCAAACACTCAACAGAAAATAGCAAACTTGTCAAAGCACAATATCACTAATAAATAGCATTTTAATCTTGATTTGTTTCAGTGAATATCAAGAGACCAAAGTCCCATCAAGATGCAAGAAAACGGCAACAGGACGAACTTTCTCGAGTTTTGACTGCTCGTTTCGACGTGTGTCTTTGTCAAACATCAATTTTCCAGTGTTCTTCTTCACATCAATTGCACCATAAGGCACTCAAACATTCAAGGATGGTTTTCCATAACTCTTACATTCAACAAATGTTTCCGGACAAACAGTTTGTTGCAATCTGATTTAGGGTTGCCAACTTCCGGGGTGGGGGTGGGGGGCTAGAGATTTCCCAGAATAATGACTGATCTCCAGACTACAGTTCCCCTTGGAGAAAATGGCTATGATTAGTGATATTGTGCTTTGACAAGTTTGCTATTTTCTGTTGAGTGTTTGAACTTTTGCAGCAACCTCTCGTATGTCTATGGCTCCCAAGTTGGCCACGCCCAGCAGGAACTCATTAGCATAATAGGCCACACCCAACAGCAGAAACTCATTAGGATTGGCTACATTAGGGGTGTGTGGCCTAACATGCAAAGGAGTTCCTGCTACAAAAAAAAGGCTCTGGGTTTTGACAACAAACAAGGTAAACAGAATAAGCAAAAGGTGGGTGTGGCTGGATGAGCACACCTCTGGTAACATGTGGGTGCGGCCTAATGTGCTAATGAACTGTGCTGTCAGGGGTGTGGCCCAATATGCTAATGAGTTCCTGCTGGGCTTTTTCTACAAAAAGAGCCCTGCTCTGGAGTAAAAATGCCCAAAGGGGAGAAGAACTTTGTGCCTAGAAATTAGCGCTAGAAGGTTCTGAACTGCGGCTCTGTGCAGATGCAAACGCTCCAGTGCACTGCCTGGAAGCCAGGAATCACGACTTGGAAGCCAGGAAGAAGCCACACAGCTAACTGTTTAGGTGCCAGTGCTGAAAACACGTCTGGTGGTGTCCTGCGCCCCTGCCCGCCCCCAACACGGCCAACAGGGCTGAACGACAGGCCAGTGGCCAGCCCGGACTCACCTCCTTGGACGTGATGTTTTCCAAGTCCTTCTGCATCATGATCTCCCTCAGTTTGGTCTTGATCAAACGCTCCGTGCGTTCTCGCTCTGTCGGGCTGGGGGAGAGGAAAGGAAGTGAGAAGCGTTTTTCAAGTCAGCCGGGCCGTTTCTCCTTTGTGTGGACAAACCTCTGAGATCGAAAGATCCCCTGCCTCCAAAGCACTCCACACTCAGCAACTGCTTCAACCGGCCTAGTCTACAATTATTACTGGGGTTTATTTCTTTAAGCCAGCACCTTCAGTGCACGTGGGCCTCTCACAGACTAACAGGAGATTAGAGTCACACGTGAGCTAAGTTGAGACATTCAGTGCAAATGGTAGTGTTTTACCTGGACTGTACCACTTCAGGCTCTAGGCAAAGGGGGAGGAGTGCATGTGTGAATGTCTCCCACCCCCAAGTGGAAAACAACATCCCAGCTCGGAGAAAAATAACCCTTCTTCTGCCACATGCTAGTTTTCGGTGAGCAGGGAGGCTCTCTTTGATACTGGAGAATTCAAGCGGGGAAGGCCACTTCCTCCCCGCCTGATGTGGTACAGTCTAGAAAAAAAAGAGTTTTATCCAGAGGTCATTTCGGGGGGGATTTATGTATTCTTTGGTACACAAGGAGCTTTAATCTATTTGTGAAGTACTTTCTGCATTTAATGGATTTACGTGCCTTCATTATCCTCTGCTTTGCAAAACGTACATTATGCTGTCTGCCATCTCTGTTCTCAACCATATGGTCGCCTTTCTGTCTATTAGGTCTCCCTCGATTCCTGACGTTTTCTTCCAAGTCTTCATTTTGAACTCTCTGTGGCCTTTGCTGATGACGTTCTGCACCCTCCTCATTTCTCTGATCATCCTCTGCTGGAATAAAGAGAGAGATCCTGTTAGCATCAGGGAAAATGAAGAAGAGATTGGATTTATACTCCGCCCTTCACTACCCAAAGGTGTCTCAGAGCGGCTTACAAACTCCATTCCCTTCCCCTCCCCACAACAGACACCCTGTGAGGTAGGTGGGGCTGAGAGAACTCTTGACAGAAACTGCTCTTGTTCAAGAACAGCTGTGCCAGAGTTATGGCTTGCCCTAGGTCATCCAGCCAGGTGCAAGTGGAGGAGTGGGGAATCAAACCCGGTTCTCCCAGATTAGAGTCCGCGCACTTCACCACTAAACCAAACTGGCTCTCCCAGGAGCTCTCCCTCTCCTGTGGCTCGAGGCAGCAGTTCGAGGACCCTTTTCTAGCTGGGGTAGGAAATGCAAAGCCACACCCTCAGCACACCTTATTCTTGCACCATAAAACAACCAAGTATTTAAGGATGCCTCACCCCCTCAAGAGCTCAGCTCTTGCCAAAAAGGAGTTTCTGAGACTCCAGATTTCAGTCCCCAAGAAGGCCTCCCTACCTTCTTAACCAGCGGGCTGCATGATTGTATGAAACAAAATGTTGCCCAGAAGAGAATCAGAAATCCTCCCTGGCTATTCCTTGCCTGATCCCTTGACATAACCGTAAAGAATACTCACTTGCAGCCAGCTCACTTGGGAAGAAAATATGCTCTTGGGATCCTCCTGAGGAAGTTTCCAGCCTGTCTTCGAGTGGAAGCTTGTTGTTTGTCTGCACTACAGTGTCTCTTCTACTTCTGGCTTCTTTCACAGGGAGAGAGAGAGAGAAAGTGATCATTCTTATATGGGGAAGGAAAGACATTCAAAAGTAAAAATTCTTCTGGAAGGACGGAACTAGATCAAAGCCCAAGATCCCAACCGGTATAAGGGGAATGGATGTGTGAGCCAAAGAACCCAAGTTCCTTTAAGGGTAAATGTGATTACTTGCAGGTTTTTGTTGTCTGAGTCTTCCTGCACTTCACATCCTTATCTTTTTCAAGGCCAGACTTCAGAATGTGGTCCTTTGTTAATTGAGAGAACCTGCGTCTAGTCGTGTAACCAGGAGGGAGGCGGGGATTAGGAGGGTACTGACAGCCTCTGGAAAATTCCATCAAGGAGGACCCTTGTTGATTGGGCCATTAAGACCACCTAGCCACAGAGAGGCAGAAAGTATATTACGAGTATAGAGCAGAGGGAAGCCAGGCTAACTTTATGCTCATGCCAAGGTAGTACGCCTTGATATTTTCTTCCTTCATCCCGATGAATAGTTCTCTGTAGAGTAAATTAGGCTTCAGATGGAATACTTATGCTGCAACAGGAGGTGCCATCGAATACCAAGTATTT